GCCTCACCTAGGGCCTTCGGGCCATAAGGCTGGCTGGCTGACTGGAGGGTTGGGCTGGGGGTCACCTAGGGGCCTTTTAAACCTAGTCTTCAATGTTATGGCCCTGCAACAAACCGCTATGATAAACATAAAAAGAAATGAAGGAAGATGCGGGTAGACATTTACATCTATACCAGTACTCTCAAGATTATTAGACAGAAACTCATGAAAGCATATTGTTTACGGGATACTCCATATATGCATAAATTACCCATGTATCCATGACAGGTGTAGACATATGTATGTTGTGCTTATGCATAACACCACTAGGCATTTATTTCAATATTCATTTGCATGGACGGACAGGCGTGCGATACGCAAAGACTCATCATGGACCTTCTGAGCGTTTTAGAAATATTAGAAGGCCAATGCCTTCGCATCAGAGAGAAGCAGCAAAGTCGGAAAGCCGGAAGTAGTCAAACAGCATGATGCATGGCAAGACCCAGCTGAATCCTAAAGATAACGTGGTTGCAAAAACCCCAAATTATGGAACTAGGCCCTTGAAAGTCAGATCCTCTAAAGCAGTTCATGGGTGAAGCCCACATATGAGATGATGAGTGCGATATCCAAACTGCTGAAATAAGCGGATGCCACGGATAGCTCTTGATAGGGCTGCAGGATGCCCAAGCCATTCCAAAAAAAACATTGACTCGTAAGCCTCGAAGATTCGAGAGGAGATGATGGCTGGCAAACCCCAAACCCTATGAATAATGCCTGGATCTTCAAAACTTTATAAACCACAAGGCATTAATGATTTCGCACATGCTTAAACATCCGTCGGGCAGTCTGCACATCAACATCTTTGTTGGTGACTTCTCAACCGGTCGCCCATGATACATTTCGAGTCTGAGTTTAAGATACTGGCGTTTAGATATAAAGTAAGAAGCATGTTTAAGACAGTAATGGTATTTACATATATTTATACAAATGTATGTAAACAAGCACATACACACACTCATGCAGCTTGGGTTCATGCATACCAAATTCTCTGGGTCCATACTAATCCAAATACAGTCTTATATATTTGAGCATGTGAATGTCGCGGGTCACTAGCCAGTCAAGTTGAAGCTGTTGTTGATGTTGTACTGGGCCGATAGCCATCCGAGTTCAGTTCGCTATTGTGGGCCAATACGCATATGAATTCAGTTTGTTGTTCTTGTGGGTCAATACCCATCCAAATTTAATTTGTTTTTGTTGCCTTTCGATACGTATCAAAATGCAGTTTCACGTTATTGGCCGATACCCATCCAATTTCGATTTGTTGTTCTTGTGGGTCAATACCCACTCGATACCTTGCCAAAATCAAGTTGCATTATCATGGATCAATACCTCCTGTACTCAGTGATATCGGAACTCAATACCGATCCAAATTCATGTCTTGATGTTGAGGTCAACAGCCTTCTTAATTGATTAAGTTTTTTTGGCTCGTCATGAGCTGTTGAGGGCAACACTACCATGAGACATTGTGACGATGCTTACTGGGAAGTATGAGCAAGACATTTCTAGAGTAAAAAACTCGAGGAAAAACACTGAATTCCTCGAAAACACGCGCCGCCACGGCGTTCCACTCTCCAGTAGGGATTTCAAGGAGGGTAAGGGTGAGGCGGGT